TGAGTGCAAGGGGAAATGGGGAAGGAGAAGGGCTTTAGAAGAAGGAAGTCAGCTAATGTGTAACAGTCTCCTCAAGTCTGCTTTAAGAAGAGATCTTTGCTAGCACAAAGTTAACAAAATGAGAGGGATATGAAACAAAGTAGAGAAAGACAGTTAAGTGAGAGGAAAAGCACTAATGATGAGAATCAGAGAACAAACTTAAGAACTTAGCCAATAAACAGAAAGGAAGCCATGAGGGGGCTTCCCAGATATGGGAAAGATGCTGTTGTGTTTCTATGAGCGGTAAAAACAGGATTACCCAACTTCTTTAGGTCATACGGATATTTTTGTATGTATGATATCTTTTATAACTAAAAAAGTGAGAGAAACATAAGCCGAATCAAGATATTAGCCTATTTGAATGCTGAAGGGACGCACACTAGGAAAAGAAGGAAAGATCAGCAGACAGAGAAGATATTTTGCAGAAATAAGCATGCAAGGTAGACTGTTAGGTTAGGTGGCTCAGGAGGCGGCACAAGAAATAGAGACTCCAGTGAATCAGAAAAGAAAGGAAAGGAAGAGGTTTATTCTGCGTCCCCGGGAGACCCACGTACCCCAAGGAGAGGGCACGTGGATTCACGCCAACAGGGAGGGGGGCGCTTTTTTTATACTGCGGTTGGGTGAGGGGCGGGGACATGAGCTGAGGAATTCTCTGCTGCAGGGGATGGGCGGGGCGGGGGGTATGTGGATTAAGGGAGAAGAAGCCGGTATCTGTGTCTGGCACCTTGATCTGTGAGAAATTCCAGGGGAAGTCCATTATCTTGTCACATGTCTGCATGTATCAGATCTTGGGCTCTCTCTGACCTAACATAGACATGGAACTTGTAGTTGACAGGATATGCAAAAGGCAACCTCATTATGGTTTTAGGAATCATTAAAGTGTAAGTATAATATCATGACCCTCAAAACAGTTTCACATTGTGCTGTGAATTCTTGCAGACAATTTTTAAATAGGATAATTTGTTTAATTATGAAAATTACAGATAGGAAATAAACTTTTATTTTGGTTTTAATCAAGTAAGTGACCGATAAATCTTAATTCATGGTAGAAATGATCTGAGATTTTTACCTTGTCATCGATTTTTCTAGATCACTCTTTTGCTTCATTACTTTATTCAAGCTCTGTTGCAGACATATGGTTAAATCAATGTATTTCTTTGATTCTTCCTTTTCATGCTGAAACTTTGAAAAAATTTAAAGAAAATTATTTGTAGGAATCTAGAGATTTACTTTTCTTTCTTAAAAATATGATTTCTCCTGGGTTCATGAATAGTATGTGTGGACAAGTTTATGAAAGGTAGTAGACAGGTTTATAAACTAGGTGCCATTAAGTACAGATTTCAAGAAAAATGACTTCTCACAGCAGCTTAAATTGACTTTACATTTCCACCACTTTCTTTCTGGAACTAAAATTGCCAAAATTTGTTCAAACAGAGGTTTTGAAATATAAAATAGTAAGTGCTAAAATACTTTTTAAGGCTACATTGACCTTTTAGTTTCAAAGGGTGCCCTAGATACATTTTCATCAATAGGTCAAGATATTCCAGGTTGTATTAAATCACATCTTACTAAGGTCATCTTTGAAAAATTCCCATGCAGTTCCCATTACCTTATGATGATAATCTGACTTTGAATGAGATAAAGACTCTCATTCTCTGTAAGCTTTCTTCCATAGGTTTCAATTTCTCCTTTTTTATTAAACACTTTTTTTCTTTAAATAAAGCGTCTTCTCTATATTATATAACAAACATAACTTTTACTTGATTTGTGAAGCTTTTTCTATCGTCCTATTGTTACCTTCCATTAAACTCTAACATTCTTTACTACAAGGTCTCACCTGTATATTCATATTTTCACTACTCATTCTTTTATTTTGTATAAGAATCAGAATTTCAATCCTATAATTGCACTAAAAATTTTTGAGGGTCATCTTTTTTAGTCCTTTAATGCTTTACTTCTCAGCAGTCACTGATAACAATGACCACATCCACTCTCTCTGTCTAGTTCTCCGTCCACAGTGCATTTCTAAACAGTTACCATGATGTCCAGTCCTCGACTCTTTCAATTCCGTTCTTATTTATCTTTTTCTTTATTTTTGCTTGTTTTGAGGGGTATGAAGTGGTAGCATGGTTATTTGATTATTTTTCTTCACCTGTTGAAAGCCATGGACTAGAACTACATTGAAGTTGAAGGTAAGAAGTAACAAGTTTAAGAAACTCCATACCTTCTTTTATAATCTGATGGTCTTTTGAATATTTAAGTTAATAACTTAAATCTGATGTTTTGAATATTTAAGTTAAAAATATGGCTAGAGATTATATAATTGTCATATGAAAATAAGTATATAATCAATACAACAGAAATTATGAGGACTTTCTATAAGACAGGAAAATAATAGCATCAACCTAAGAATCCCTAAAATACCAAAAGCTGATAAGATCAAAACTGATAAAATCAAATTCAGACAGATGTAGAAGAGGAATACTCTAAAAAATGAATTAGGGGAGTTCCAGTCTAGCAGCAGATAGAGACAGTGGTCACCTAAGAGGATCCTTTTTTAACCTTTTATTATAAAGATTATCTAACAGAAACAGAAGAAAATAGAATATTGTATTGGTCCTCCATAGTTCATCATCCAGGTTCACAATTTTCTTTTTTTTTCTATGCTACTTCTCTTTTTCTTTCTTTCCATCCACATGTATCCCTTCTATTGTTTCTTCCATTGCCACACAACCCCTCACATTATAGAAATCACCACAGTGTTGTCAATGTTCATGGGTTTTCTCTATTATTTTTTTCTTTTTCACTCCATCCCTACACCACACCCCAAGACCATCAACACCACCAACAGACAAGTATCATATGATTTCACTCAGATGTGGCATTTAATGAACAAACTGAACTACCAAGCAAAATAGAGACAGAATTATAGAGAGCAGTCTATTTCTTTTTAAAAAACCTATCAGAGATCCATAAACCTCAAAACTTCAAACCAGATTTCCTAATCAACATTTCCAGCCTTGACCCCTTTACTAAGGTCATCTGTACTTATTTCTTTCTCCCTTCTTGCTTTCAGAGACAATATCCTCAACCACATACTCATAAACCATGAGCGATATGGATCAACTTTGTAGATAGCTGATCTGGTACATTTTATATTGATTCTTATTGGTGCTACTTTGAGTGTATCACTGTAATGTTCTGAATTTGTGGGCTCCTTTACCCTTAGGATGTTCTCCAACATTCTCTGTCTTGTTTTTCTCTTATAATGCAAATGTTTTTCACAAGCATTAGATTATCAATTATTGGCCTTTAAAAAATAATAATAGTTCCCTATTCCGTAGAGAACTGACCTATGGAAGTCTCCTGAAGTTCTTTCCACTGGCTTACTCAACTATCTTCTTTGAAGTCTTAAAAAAAACTAGAGCTATCTTCTTGCTAATTTTGACTCCTTACCTCATCATTGTGCTGTTCAAATATGTGGGTTTGAATCCCAAGACGACCAGTGATATAAAAGCATTTAATTTTATCCTAACAATAGTTAAGCTGAAATATTTTCAATGTATACAAATACAGGCACCCTCATATCAAATAATAGACTCCACAGACTAATTTATACTCAGAAAGACAAGATTATACCTCATCAAGACATTTAAAGCAATGTGAAATTAGGGGATAATTTGTTCTGCACAGACTGGATGACAAGTGCTGGGGGGGAAAAATGAGTTCAATGAGAGTTCAAACAGTCAGAGTACATTTCATGGAGAAGGAGAGATTGGGAGCCAGGTCTGAATAGATGAAGCATTAGGCACCGGGAACAGAAACTGAAAAGACAGAATAGACAGCATGAGTAAAGGTGGAGAGATGATGAAATCAGCAGTTATCTCACAGGATTAAAATCCAATGACAGGAAAGGAAAATCTATATTCACACAATGACTTGTACACTCATGATCATAGTACAATTATTAATAGCCAAAAAGTGAAAACAACACAAAGGTCCATCAACTGTTGAATGGATAAATGGTTGAGCAGCACAATGAAATATTGTTCAGCAATAAAAATAAATAAAATATTGATATATGTTACAATGTGGATGAACCTTTAAAATGTGACATCAAGTGAAAGAAGCCAATCACAAATAACTGAAATTTGTGTAAATATATATATATATACATATATATATTTACAAATTTATATAATATGCTAATTAGACTGGACTGTGGAACAACCTTCTGGAACAACCTTCCAGGACGATCAGTAGGTGGGAGGCGGGGCTGCTGCGAGGACCAAGCTCCTTGCACAAATTTGTGCATCAGGCCTCTAGTATCCTA